GTCCTACTTTTCAGACCTAAAAAAATGTCTGGAGGGAATTTCAAAATCGTCCGGGATTTTGGTCGCCTGCAGTGCAGCAGAACCGAGCCATCAGCTCCGGGCTGGTCCGGAGATGACGGAGCATGTCTAAATCACGGCCCTTATCCTTCCCAATAATACACGTTTCTTAAAATGTCTGAAGTATAGATAAAAATAGGCTCCACCTCTTTTTCATTATCTAAATAGCGGCTAAAGCATTTGATCCTTTTCCTCTCCTATAATGTCTCCTGGTGTCTTACTGCTGCAAACATTTATCTTTACTAAAAAGACCCTAAGATCATTGACTTACCTACTCCCCCCTCTCTGCCGTTCTTGCTCTGGTTCAGTCCTGCACACGACACAGGCTAATTAATTACATGGTCTGAGATATATAACCCCCTTCCTTTCAAGTCCCTATAATTACCTTAGTTTTATGTTTGCACCAGCAGCCACTCTAAATCACTAAGCCTCTGTAGCGTGTAAATAATGAAACAAAATGCCCTCCTGTTGGCTGTGTAGTATTAGCTGAACTCATGTAAATGTGTCAGAAAGGCTGAAAGCAGGTAGGTGTCTGTTTTAAATCACTCATCTAATAATTGGACCAGGATATTGATTCTCTCCTGTTTGCTGAATTTACTGCTCTGATACAACAAAGGATTCTTTCATGCTAAAGGAAAGTAACGGTGTTTCGGCTAGTAATAGGAGATAAATGATAGATGAGGGAATTATTTACACCCACACAAACTATAGCAGCAAAGATCAAATTATAAATGACCTGTAAATGTAAATGACCTTAATTTTGAAGAAAAAAATTGACCTAATTTTCATCGTCTGCTTAGACCAATTAACACCTCCTGTTCAGAACATACTTTTGTTACAGATTTTGCTGAATTGTGTAAAAAATTAAATGAAATGACGTCAGTGTCTAGTCTGGTGGATGTTGACTGAGAGGCAGAGATGGTTTCTTGCAGATTTAATGAAGATGTTGATGCAAATAATCCAGAAACAACAGGCAAGAAACTGAGGAATCAAGAACTAGAAGACACTCAGAGAACTAACGTAAGAATAAAGAGAATCCAGCAAAGAGGAACTGCACAGGAGGTGTATATATGTGAGGAAGAACAAAGCAGGGCTAATCGGCTAATAGAGAGCAGGTGTGGATAATTAACTAGAAGGGAAAATGAAACTGACACAAGGGGGGGGACAGAGAGTAACTCAAAAGATACAACACTGCTTAAATATAGCTAGAAAACAACTAGAATGACACAAAATGGAAAAGAACCCAATGACCAAGAAAAGACAGAATCACAATCCAAAAAGTTAAACAACGATCCACTGGACTTCCAAGTTTGAGGATGTTTCGCTTTTTTCAATTCAAAATGTCAGAAATACTTCCAGGCTTTATACAGTAGCCCAACAAATCCTAATCAAATTATTGGGATTCATATACAGGTTTACTTTTTGTCCATAAATGTTTCCCTTCGGAGGCTTTAGGAAGGTGAATCTGTATTTTGCATTCTCCAATGTTGGGTCAAAAACCTAAAAAAATATTTCCAAGTTAAATAATTGAGAAGCTCTTAGTCGCTTTATATTTTTTAATATATAAAAACTATTTATTTTCTGAGAATTTATTTATTTAAGAGCAACTATGCAAATTAACAAACATCTAGAAAAAGTTTTTCCATGTGAATCCCAGATTGTTCATCCTTCTTTGGCTTTTCTAAAAGTGCTTTAAATCAGTCCTAGCTGTTTCTATCCAGGCTGGATCAGATCCTGACCTTTGATGCAGATATTTTTGATCTGTGCCCAATATTGAAGCTTGGTCTGCGCTAGGTTATTCCACGCCAAAAGAGGGCCAATCAGGAACTAGCTGTGGGTCTTGATACGGCTGAGACGGTGAGGTACCAAACAGGAAACAGGAGTCGAGCGCATGTAGATCTGACCAATCAGAGGCCTCCTTTCTCTCCTCCTTGCAACTCTATCTGCAGTACAGTCTGTGGTCACCTACAATTTTGGAGAGGCGGGGGGGCATCTGCGTTAACTGTGACAAACACGCAGAAGACAAGCTGGTTTGTGAGCATAAACCAGGCTTTAGCCTCGCTGCATGCAGTTAGCCTAGCCTTGTAGCCAAACCAGGTCCTGGAAAAAAACAGAGTGAACCGCCTCCATCTGTCATTGGACCGCTGAAGCCGAACGACCCCCATTCCAAAGGGGCGGACCCGTTCCTCCAGTTCAATTTGCATCTTTATTAAAGAAAAACGAGGCTTTGTTTATTGTCCACTCTATGAAACCTGGAACTCAACGCTATTTCTGACTATTTTCAATTGGAAAAGCTTCCTGGATGGAAGAGAAACGTCTTCAAACTTGGAAACAAAGTCCAGAGGATTGATTTTAACATTTTTAGAATGACTCTGACCTGGATGACTGAGGATCTTCACCAGAAAGCTGCACTATGACAGCAAAGCTTTCAGAAAGCTGCTTAATCAAAGGGAGGAGCTGTAATTTCATGGCGATAAACATATTGACTGACTGTATCCATGCTTTGCATATTAAGGAAAAACAGTAGATTGTGTATTATTTCCTAAACTTCTTATTACATCAAGTACAGTTATAACAATATACCCCATGTTCTTGCCACACATTACAGCACGTAACAACATACCACCCGGCCATGATGAGAGAGCCGCTGAGCCTAGCTGAGCAGCCATTTAACCCAGATTAGCCCTCCACTTTGATCTCTGAATAGATATTCAGCTCAGCTACTCCTCTGCTGATCCCTTCTTCCCGCCACCATTTTCTATCCTTTGGGAATGCCTCATCTTAACGGGAAATGTGACAATGCAGAGGGTGAAAAACAGGGCAGATGCAAGTGAAACTAACATATGTTATAAATAATTCACTGTTGGCTTTCCTTGGCTCTTTAAACAAAATCTGAAGGATTTTTGTTTTTTTATTGGTTCCATAAATAGGATAAAACTAAGCAGTGAACATTGATGCTTTAGAATAAAGAACCTTATCCAGTTTGCTAAATTCTGCAATAATGTTTAAAAACACAGCTGCATCAAAACTGACTTTTTAAAATAGCTTTTAAACTCTACTGCTGATATGCTTCTTTTGTTCTTATCTGAAAAATCTCTTTTGTCTGAAAATCTCAAATAGTTTTACCCTCAGAGAAGTTTTTTTGGTCAACTAACCGACTGCAAAATAAATGCTAAAGATTTATAACCGTCCGTCTGTCTGTCTGTCTCTCCGAGCCAGCTCCCATGTCAGTGGATGAAGAGAGCACATCCAGTTAGTCACAGTCAGAGAAACAGGACTACACTGGAAAACAGGCCAAGCTCCAACATCTAGAA